ATTAGTATATCATATAATTATTTTTCTAAATTTTGTTAATTTATGAGCATCAATAAGTTGTCATGTTTGGAAGTTAGAATTTTATTTAAGATTGTTATTTAAATTATTTGAATGAATAAATTAAAGAATTTTCTTTTATAGATTTTCTAGTTATAAAATTTATGTCAAGAATTTTATTTCATGAATATTTTTGTAAATTTGTATAAACTAAATTAGAAGTTATGTGGTCCGACCAATAACCTAGTGACCCAATAGTTTAACCAAGTTGATGACCAATCCAGATTTTAAAACATTTGTTGCAACTTAATGTTTTGCGTTGGTCAATAGATCGGGATATCAACTATTAGATAATGCAACGATCTCATGACTTTGATATCGATAGGAGATAAAAATGAGAGCAACAATTGGTAATGCTAATAGATGAGTGGATGACTATATTACTGACAAATGGTTATACACAATAAATATACAATGATGAAATCTACCCCTAGTAAGCTTTCTCATTGTTAACACCAAAATATTCATTTTAATTTCTATCATTTACTTTCACGCATTAAAACAAATATAAAACCATTTTTTACTTAGAATCACAAAAAATATTGAACGATCTTTGAACACTATCAGTCTTTGTGGATACGATAATTATAAAACTTACTTTTGTGATCACAACATGTACTGATAGTGGAGGCTCTCCCATATAAGGGGTACTCGGAATCCCAACCAAAGCAATTGCCACCCACATCTCTTTCCTCAATCGTTGCATGTCATCCTTTTTTTTTTTTCACTGAATCTACACAATCAAGAATGGAGCATAAAAAAAGGTTCAAGGAAATTAAACGAGGAAGATAAGGCCCCGGTGCCACTTACAAAAAAATTTCTTCCTTTCCTATTTCGATTTGGCATCCATTAACTAGCAGGACTAAATAAGATTTCGATCAATTACCCAACGCCCCTCCAAACTGGATAGCTCTATCTGTGCAACCAAACCCCTTATAGAAAGCCACCAGAGACAAATCTCCTTCCATGTAAAAATATGAGATTGCCCCTGTCAAGTAGTGACTCTAAGTCTAATACTTATGAAAATATGTCAGAGCAAGCAGAGGAAAGGCCGGGTTCTAAGTTGCATATCTTCGCACGTGCCTCCATGGTCAGAGGATAACCATGTAGAAGTGTCATCGAAATGCTTCAGGCTATCAAAATAAGCCTTGAGCCTAATATTTTTCCTAAAGGAAAATAGACCATAACCATTTGTATAGTTGGAGTTGTTTCGAACTCTGGAAAGATGAAAGAACAATGTAATTGTTCACTTACCCCATTTTATTCGCACCATTATTGGACAAATTTAATGAATTCGCGGCTCACGAGATGCAACTAGTAAAAGGAAATCAACAAGTTATTCAACATGATGATTTCGAATTCATTGAAAGGAATGTGGTAACTTATGATAGAGAACAAACATTCGTAGAAAAGGATAGTGCATCCAAAATATCATATATAAATCCTCTTATCTTCATTCAGGGGAAACACCCCATAATCGGCTATGAAATCCATGTCTGTCAAAGCTTGATTAAATGCACCTTCGTGAACAAAGCAGAGACAAACTCTAATATGTTAGGATCCACCCAATTGCCTAAATGCCCTTACCAGCCTTGCTGGTCGAAGTTGATGTTATCACCATGTTAAAAAAATGTTGCAAAAAATAACTGATGCAAGTATCGTGAAGCAAGAAAATTTGAGTGAACCATATCTTGGAAGCCTTAGAGGAAATCTACAAGAGCAAAAAGAAAAACATGGACTTCGAGATCAGGGAAAGGATCATTGCAACACCCAAAACAAATGTCCACAAGCAAAATTTTCTAAATTTGGTTCAACGATAAAACGTAACACTCTCAGGGAAGAAAAAAAAAATTCTCTTTGCATATCACCAGTAACAAAAAAAAAGGTAAAATATCACTTTGAAAACCCTTTATATTTTATTCAGTAATTGAAGATTGTACAATCTACCCCACGCCACCAACGATTGAGATCCTTTAAAAAAATGGCTTGAAAACAATCAATTGCTCTAAAGAAGGAGAAACATCATCACTCGCTAGTGAGTAAAGGTGTGTCAGTCACTCCCACCATTATGTTAACTCCCAAGAGGGGTATTTAATGTGCCCATACCCAAGAACGACAACTTTCCATCTGGAACTTCCAAGTCCACGAATCTCGTGTTCGAGTAATGATATGTATCATAAACCCTCGTGTTGCAAAGCAAAGATAAGAGGTTTAGGCAATTGTAATGGGCCTCTCGCATGGCCTAGAAGTCGAAAGCTCAATTATGAAATAACAAACTTATGAATGCAGAGTAGGTATATTCATTTTCCTTTGCTTCTCAAGTAACCCCTCACAAGAAATTATATTTTGAAGACATTATATTTTGTTTTGAAGAAAAAATTTGTAACAAAATATAAATTATTTTACAATACCAAGATATTTATTAATGTTATTTTTTCTATTATATTTTTAAAATTTTATTACATATTTTCTTTCAATTATTTAAATTTATTTTTCACATACAATTAATAAAAACAATATTATAAAATCATTTATAATTTTTCTTCTCTATACGACAATAATAATTATTTTTTCTAACATGTGTTATTAAAAGTTCAAAATGTCTCATAAATAATACTTTTCTTAATCCGTGTTAATAAATATAGGAAATAATTCTTGGAAATTGTGTAATAAATCTAATACAGCCTTATAATTAATGATTTTATTATTTTTTTTCATGCATATTTTTTATTTGTGAGTTTTTTAACATGTGTCCCAAAGGCACAAGTTAACATTACCCAATAATTAATACTACTTCTCTTTTTTTTTACTTGTGCCCTTGAGGCACATGTTAAAAAGCATGGAAAAAAAACAATTAAAAAGCATGGAAAAAAACAATAAAATCATTAATTATAAGACTGTATTAAATTTATTACACAATTTCTATAAATTATTTCTTATATGTTAACATTACCCTTAATTATTAACTAATATAAACATTGTATTTAATACTAGCGCTTTTAGTTCAATGAAATTCAGACAAATTAAACTGTTACCGACAAAATTTAAACATTTATATAAATAGTAAAAAGTGGAACCGACAACATTTTGTTTTGTGCTGATAACTATACATCTTTGAAAGTATAAAACTTCATTTTAAATTGTGACTTCACACATTAAATGAACATGTTATATAGTGTCAGCTTACTAAGATTAATTCAGCTTACTAACGATTACCTACTAAATATATTTTCATTTAATATTTTAGATATGATTTGAAACCAAAGACAACCTCTTTTATGTTCTATATAAACTCAGACCTTGAGTCACTTATACTCACCAAGCAAAAGCAAAAGTACATTGCAATATATCTATTTCAATCCATTTCCTAGAGAAGCAATGGCAAGTTTGAGAGTTTCTTGTGTGGTTGCATTGATGTGCATGGTGGTTATTACTGCACCAATGGCAGAGGCTGCAATCACATGCGGAGCAGTAAGTGCTGCTCTTGCTCCATGCCTTGGTTATCTTAAGGGTGCTCCTGGTCCTTCACCAACATGCTGTGGTGGAGTGAAGGGCCTTAACGGGTCGGCCCGAACTATCTTCGACCGTAGATCTGCTTGCAACTGCTTGAAAAATTCTGCTGGTAGCATTCCTGGTTTGAAGCCCGCCAATGTTGCCGCTCTCCCTGGCAAATGTGGTGTTAAACTTCCTTTCACAATTAGCACCTCTACCAACTGTAATGCGTAAGTTTTATAACTCACTCTTCTCATCATGACATATTCTTACCTGTTAAATCTCTGCTATCAGAAAAAGTTGACTAGGAGGTCTCGGATTCGAACCTGAAAAAACATATTTAATCAATTAAATTTATTAATTTGGTGTTTCTGCTGTATTGCAGCATCAGATTCTAAATATAGCGTGGGTGAGAGGAAGAAGCAGATAGCATGGCACTTCTTTCTACTGCAGTATTACCAGCACTAGCTGAAGAGTTAACTAATGAGAATAAAGGGCAACAGGGCTCCACTTTTGCGAGTTTCCTCGGCTTGTATCTGAGTTTGGTCTATAATCGTATTGCACAATGAATTTTTTTTCTTCCCAATTTGAATGTTACCTTTGTAATAAAGATATATGATATATAATTCCATGCTACTTTACTTTCTATTTTTAACAATTGTCTTATTGCTTTCCTCTCCCTATATTTATTGTTCTTGCTTAGTCCAAATTCTTTAGAATGCGCGAGTTGAACTTAAATCATGCCTATGAAACCGATTTGTAAGGTGAGGATTGTCCCTCCACTTATAAACACAATACATATCATATCTCTAAGCAATGTGAAACTAATTCACCCTTTCAACCCCCAACACAATAAAGACGTTGAAGGCTGCAATGAAGGCAAGCCAAACGCCGAAATTTAGGCGACTTGGAACGGACCACAATAAAGGTAGAAATTCCAACACAACCCTTCATGCTCGGGAAGTGTGGACGATGCGGAAAGCCCAACAAGTGATCTAGGATACTCCGATACCATCTTAGAATGTGCAGATTGGATTTAACTCATCCCTGCAACACCGGCTTGTAAGGTGGAGACCGCCCAAAAGTGATGCATTGATAACTTGTTAATCAAGGAACCAACCTCAACCAACTGAAATTCAATTTACTAAATTGATAGGGAACAGTTATGGACACAAGGGATAGATGCATGCAACTAACCAAATTTGTCATTCTAAATTAAATATAGCTCAACAACTTTATACTAAAAACTAAATTCAATCAACTAACTTTCGATGTAGATTGTACAAGGGGTGGGGTCAGTTATTAACTCAAATGAGAATTTAATCCTGATGTAAAAGAAACAGATGGAGATGATGTCATTAAGGCTGTTTATGGTTAGAGTTCGGTCAGAAACCAGACCGAACTGAACTATAGTAATAGGTCACCCAAACTGACCTGCATAAGAGGAGATGTCAATACTGTCTAAATGTAAGATTGAGGCGACCAGGACAAAGGCCGGTATCTTGAACCAATTCATCTGGTGCCGAATTTGGTATGATAGATGAGACACCATGGTAGACATGTCGAGAATCACCACCAAATATAAGAACATCTCCTGATTCTAGAAGTATGTTCTCTGCCTTCTTAACATCCCTTTGATCTCCATAAAGAAATTCTGCTGAATCACCAATAGAGAAGGATACAACTGGCAACCCTTTTTGAAGACTTTCTTCGCTTTCATCGCGATCCTGCATCAGGTAGTTTTAAAATGGAAACAACAAAAGTAAATGGCTAGCAACAAAGTAGTGTAGCTAACCTGATGTAGACCAAGTCTTCCACTAGTTGAATAAAAATTGACAATGCATATATCAGGAGTCATTGAAGGTAGTAAATCCTCTACATAGCTTATTCCAAATTTCTGATTATATAGCTGATGTGCTTCTCGTATAGCTCTTGTAACCAACTTATTAAAGTAAGGAGGAATACTTGGTGGCTGGCTACTATCAATCCCCCTTTTATATCCATATTTTCTTGTTTGAGGATCCCAGTCCTTACCAAGACACATCATCATCAATCTAAGTTTGGCTCCATCTGCATAGCCTGGTTGGTAGAATCCTCCAGGACCGAGACCAAGATCGCGACAATTTTTCACTATTTCTACCTAAAGTTATTCAAGAAAATGTGGTAAAAGAATTAAATCCGCCACATAAGAAGTAAATAAGTATTCCAATACATAAAGTGTAGAGAATTTATGGTGCATCGTTCATGAACACAAGGGAAGACCAGACATATAAATGCATTTCATTACAACAAGTGAAAGAAATTCCGAGAATAGAAAGGAAATCATCAATTTAGTTCCTGATATTGTAGGGCGCTGTTAATTTAGTTCTTGAAACTATTATTACAAAATAGCCTTTAAATTGAAAATCTTCAACTTTTGCATTCTGAAAGATCAAAGAAAGATCAAGCACCTGTTCATGATGTGATAAGTGATGTTTTAGGAGAACCATCCCTGGCCTCAGTATCCCATCATTTGTTCCTTCCTCCTGCATCTCAAATCCAATGCCGTTTTCCTCGTTCTTTTCTAGCGATGTAGCTCCTGTCAAAGTAGATCTTCTCTTACCGCGAAAACAGATGTCACAGTTAAATTTTCTTTGCCTTTTATCAGATAGTCTATCAGCTGACAATGTCTTTGTTGGTGATATATAACTACTATTATCATCATCAAAACTGGAACAAAAACTAGATTCACTCGAGTTATTCCTATTGTGCTGTCCCATTTCTAAATCAACGCAAATTCTCCTCTTGAATTTACTTTGTTCTATCGGCTGACCACAACTAGATATAAACTCCAGGAGTGCATTCTTCTTTTTCTTTTTATGCCGCGGTACAGGATTAGTGTCCGCCATAAATATCACAGAATCCTGCGGGTCATAACCAATTTATAGAAAAATGAAGACTCACATTATAGCAAAAAGTTAACCCTATTCACATTTCAAATTAGAGGATAATTTATAATCAGTAGATAAATCCAAATCAATTGATTATAATAATTTATAATACTTGTTTACACCCTAACCCTAGTTCTAAATTCTAATCCTTCAAACAAAGTTTGTACTTAAATTGGTAAAAGATTTTCATATTAGAGGATAATTATATCATTTCATAAGCTTAAGAACTAAATTATATTATCCTATGCTTACAATTTAAAATATCAAAAACAGTTATTAATTCGTAAAAATAGAGCTTACATTTGCATCAATGTCTTCATCTCGTGGCTGTGATGACTTTGCATTGTCGTTGTTTGTTTCAGCCATGGATAGTGAAATCTTGTTGGAAGAGAAACGGAGGAGAAAACGGCGTTTTAGGGAAAGAGGAGAGTGAAACGACGACGTAAGGGTAGTCAGAATGAAGTGTCCTGAAGAAAGCATGGGCATGGCCGAGAATAATAATGAATGAAAATATGAAGACGGTAACAAAAGAACAAGTCAAAATATTAATCCATCGATACACATATAAAATAAAATTAGCATTTGTGTTTTTCAATTAGTTTGATAGAAAGATGAAAAAATAATTTGTATTTAATTTTATTTTGAGAAAATGTAGTTTTGAAATAAAATAAACGTTATTTTTTTTCATATAATTTATGATAAGAAAAATGAGGGTTTTTTAATTTTAATTTATTTACGGGTGGGGTATTTTAAAAAATAAATACATTTAATTTGATCAAATAAATATGTGAAATTTATTTTTTGAGAAAAATTATAGGTATGTTCAAAATTCTACCAATTGATTAAGAGATGTATAATGTGTAAACTAGATGTAGTAGAGGTGATACTTACAAATATTTTTGACGTTCAAGTTAGTGACCGTTGGATATGAGAGGTATAAAGTTAAGAGAATTTTGTGTGCACCTTAATTTAACTTATGTTGTCCCTTATATAAGAGTCTTGTATTTATTAAAAAGTACATATGTGTGTAGTATTTCTACAGGGATAAGAGATACTCAGAGGTCTTAGTAATTTAGGAGCTTAGGGCATGTTCACAACGACAAGGTGCTTTGTACGGCAGTGAGTTCAGTGTTTAGAGATCCCGCCCACGACGGTGGGAGGCTCTATTTAGTTAGTGGTTATAGAAATGACTATCTCATGTGGGGTGAGAAGCTCTCTATGGTGTGTAATCAATGTAGGTATCAGTTATCCCCTCCACCTTATGGAGGAGTATTTATAGGCCCATTGGGCCTAGGGTTTATCAAACCTTAAAAAGTGTAATTGTTTCCTCTAGGATCATGGTAACCATAGACTGACTACAATTTAGGGAGTCAGGTTATGACTTAGCCTAATAATGGGAGAAGTCTTGAAACATGTGTCTCATTCTACTAGGCCAGGCCCAATACCCGCAATGGTGGGAGCCTGCGTGTTGTTTTCTTAGGGTGTGATCCTTCCCCACGCCCTTATTTGAGGACTCTTTCAAATATAACACTACGCAATCTCTCAAGCACGAAGCCTGGTAAAAGGCGGAGTGTTTTAAGCCTTAATCAGAGGCACAAAATTGGAGCGAACGCCTAGCTAAGGAATACACCTCTTGTTTTTAGGGCGAGTCTCCCCATAGCGAAAGGCGAGTCCCTCAACCCTAGGCACCCTTTCTGTGTTGCACCAGATCTTTAGTAGGGGCACATTTTTTAAGTACAAGATGAGTCCCTCATATCGTTGCGTGCCCATTTACACAAGGAATGTTCCATTCGCCTAAAAAGGGTGAGTCATCTCCTAAGTGTTATGTGTTACCTAATTAGTGAGATTGTCAACTAAGTACATCAATTAGTCTCTCAATTAGTCTTTCTTATTTAATGTAAGCAATGGTGGCTTACTTTTACGAGACTTTAAACGTTGATAACAAGTGTTAAGGACGCCCTGGAATAGAGATTGTCAACTGAGAACGTCAATTAGTCTCTCAATTATTCTTACTTATTTAATGTAAGCAATGATGACTTAATTTTCTGAGACTTTAAATGTTGATAACACGTGTCAGGGACGCCTTAGAATAGAGATTGGGGAGTGTAAGAGGTTTATTAAGATTTTTAATTTCCTCTATAAGCCCCTCCTTTCTTTTTTCTTAGATTTATTTCTTCCTTTTCTCTATCATATTCTCTCTAAGCTTCTAAGTGTTTCCTTGCTTCTGCACTTGTGATTTCTACAAGTACAATTTTCTTTCTTTTTCCCTTCCTTTTGCCTTATAGAAGAAATGGTTGGGGTTAACTTTTATTTGGATTTGCCAATTAGGGGTAGTGATTGTTCCTTACGACGACACTAGTGATTCATTTTTGTTATTTTTTCTCAGGAACAAAAGAATAATGACTACCCCCTCCCCCGTCGTGCCAAATGGTGCTACAGATATAGGATCCTATAACATTTCCAATGAGAAGATCCTCCCTCTCAGAGTGGAAATGCAAATTTCCTCCACGGAGGATGAGAAATTGGTTATTTTGGAGCTTTTCTCACCATTGTATGCAGTTGATAAAACTGTGTAGTGATAGCTAGTTTGTTCCGTTGATGTTTTTTTTAGTTTGTTCCAAGGTGGAGATTTGTAGTATTTGATCGAACTCTAGTCTCGACATGGGTAGTTTCATGATTCGATAGGGTCGAATGTGCATGTTGTAGTTGAAGTTTGTTCAAGCATGCAGTAGTCAAAAGTAGCTATGTATTATATTATGTAATAGCTATGTATGTCATGTATAAGTGTTATCTTTATACATAACATATATCTGTTAGTAGTCTATAAATAGGTTTCTTTCCTACTTGTTAGAGAGAGGTTGATTGTTATTCACTTGTAATCATTTAAATGCTCATTGTGAAAGTGAGTAGAAAATAACTGTCTAACCAACTATGTTTCTCTCTTCTTCTTTTTCCTTCTTCTATCTATTCGTATTCTGAGCAGTTTCTTTGTTGATCAAGAAATTCTCTCTTTCTCACAGTTTTACTTTGGTTATGGTGTCACAGGGAGAGACGATGCCTCTATGGTGACCATGAGGGGACAGGTGCCCTTCACTTTCCTATATCATGGACACGAGATCCTTAACTCATCAAATGGATAAACTCCCTTGAATAAGAGGTGATCTAGATTTTGAACTACTTCCAGCTCTTGAACTCTCATACTCTAATTACCCGGGACCGAGAATACTATGATGGGGTAGAGAATTACTTGAGTAAGCTTTATGGTATGAAAGTAACCTTCTGACTTGATTCCTTATTTTATTGTTTTATATGTATTAACAATGCCAATTGGTAGAGGATATGGCTATTATCTTGCTCGGCAAGAGGAGGGAGCGCTTGATTTGAATGCAAGCTACACAATAACCCGCAACCATGCTCCCTCCATTACCTAGGGATTTAACTATGGTTAGAGATAAGCGATAGAGCGAGACATCCCATGATAGCGAGGCTCGCCCTCCCAAGAATAAATGACGGGAGGAGGGTTCTTAAAGACCCTCAAGAAGCCTCTAGATAGTGGATGAATGAGGAAAGGAAAGGGGAACTCGTTCCTATGGCTGGAGTTCATAGACCCCCATTGTGGAATGACGTTTCCTTTAATGCAATGGAGTTCACCGGGCATTATCTCTACCTCTTATAGAACTTTCCTAGTGACTATCCGTCATTTCACGATAAGTCTTCCTCCTATTTAATGAACCTCATCGAGATCTAAATTTTAAGGTGCCTAGTGGTTGAGAGAGTCTAGCAGGAAAAACATCTTCGGACAATATGAGAGTTACAATCTAGGATGGACCACATCATAGGAAGAGTTTGAGAGCATTAGAAGATGGTAGCTGTAGCGGGGAAATTTGTGAGCGTAAGCTATTGATTAACGTAACTCAAAAAATGAAAGAGTCATCACCGCACTTTTATTTTGTCCAAAAAAGGAAAGGAAACAGAGTGAACAAAACCAAAGAGTTCTAAAATGAGAACAAGAAACAGAGATCTAGGTAAGGGGTTGGTTACGCAATGGGAAGGTGTTAGCACCCAAAACGTTTATAGTACTCTATAGGAGCCCTTTGAAATATTTACGCTTTGTGGTTTGAAAAAGATTTGTTTGAAAGAAGATTGGGGAGATGAGAAGAGAATTATTTTTTTAGATTTTTGTGTTTGGAGAGACTTATCGCCTCATGCCTACGTACCCACAAAGTGCAATATAGGATCAAAACCACGTAGTTCGTGGTACAAATAACAAAAATTTATTGGTTTTGATTGATTTTAAATGTAAAGACAAGTCGAAATTTTAAGGAGAAAACTACGACTAGTCGCCCACAAGTATAAGACAACATTTGCATCACCTAAAGATGGAGAATTTGCTTGGATTATAAACAAGCCTATTGTCGTAATTGCGAAAAAGGGTCAGAAAACAGACAGAAGAGTCGCCACCGAACATTATTTATCCCAAAGAGAGGGAAAGGAAACGATCGAAGAAAACCTAAGAGAAAGGGGAAGACAAGGTCATCGCAACCAAATCTTGGGTCGGAAGTCGGTTACGCAAGGGGAAGGTATGAGCACCCCTCACATTTGTTTTACTCAATGGGATCCACGCTTGTTGTCTAATTTACGGGTGAAAACTATCTAAAAGCTACTGCTAAACGGGGGTGAATGGAAAGAACAGACTCGATAGGACATCGCCGCCCTATGCCTACGTATTTCCTCGTGTAATGGGAAAGTCAGAGTCAACGTAGTTCGGGAAACTACGGGTGATGAGGGGAAGGTTGCTCGCCAAGACATCGTCGTCTTGTGCCTATGTATCTTCATCTGGTATGAGAAATCAGAGCAAACTTAGTTCAGGATAAACTAGACCACCGGTTGGTTAAGAGTTTTTTATGAGCAATGTTAAATCTCCATTCTAGCAGTTAGGGACGATGCCTGTTTGTGGTAGAACAGAAAAGTAACATGCTCTTTCTGAAAATGAGGTTTGAAACAATCCCGAAGGATGAAAAGGTTTGAATTTTTCTTGTGTTTTTTAAAATAAGTGAATTGAGTTAGTCTGAAACTCATGTTGCGCTAAAGATTATGACATAAGAGCGAATGCGTCGCATATCTCCCAAAGGGCATACACTAAAAACTCTAGATAATGTGATGAGAGACCTCCCCACTTATCATTCCTCATGTATTAAAGCTCGTAGCGTACAACACTTGTCACTCATTATTAAGTGTCTTATAAGAGTTTGAGATGAGAAGAAAAGACACAATGACACTAAAGGGAACTGAGAACCTTAATGTTATCATGCAAAATGGTCCTAAAGTTGAGATAAAAGGGGTACTACCTAATGTTATCATGAAAAGGATTGAAATCCTAATGTCTCTCCTACTCCTATCTTAAACAGAGGGACTAGGAATCCTAAGGGATCATGTGAACAAGAACAAGTAAACACAATGCATAATCAATCACAGATGAAAAATAA